TCCAAGAAGAGCTGCCCAGCCGCCACCAGTCCCTGCACAGCTGCCAGGGACAGCCTGGCTGGAGAGTTCAGTCCCCACCTGGCCCCCAGCCCTAGAGGAGAGGAGGCAGGAATAGGAGGATCAGGGGCTCAGGGCCATTCTGAGCTACACAGCAAATAAAACAGCACGGGGTGGGGGGGGAACGGAACAACAAGTTTAATTTAGGGAACTTGCTTTGGTTTTTTGTTGTTTCAGAAGCTACAGAAGCCTCATAGTTTGATTGATCCACAATAGAGTAGAGGTTGGAGAGATGGTGGTTAAGAGCACCATCTGCTCCTCCAGAGGACCTGGGTTCAATTCCCAGCACCCACATGGTGGCCCACAACCACCTGTAATGGGATCCAATGCTCTCTTTTGGTGTATAGACATATCTACTGACAAAGCACCCATATACATAACATTCATAAATAAATAAATTATTCTTTTCTTGGTTTTTGTTTTTTTGAGACAGTGTTTCTCTGTGTAGCCTTGGCTGTCCTGGAACTTACTCTGAAGACCAGGCTGGCCACAGACTCATTGAGATACACCTGTCTCTGCCTCCCAAGTGCTGGGATTAAAGACGTGTGCCACCACCACCCAGCCCAATAAATCTTTTAAAAGAGAGAGAGGGAGGCAGGCAGGCAGGCAGACAATGGAGCATGGACAGGTGTGGTGGCACATACATCCCAGCACTTGGGAAGCAGATCTCGGTGAGACCAGCTTGGTCTGCATAGTAAGTACCAGGACAGCCAGGGATTTGTAAAGAGACCCTGTTTCAAAAAAGAAAAAGAAAAAGAAAGAAAGAAAAGTAAGAAAAAGAAAGCAGGGAAGCTGAGAATCCCAGTTGCTGCCAGGAGGAGGAAGTCCTATCCTTGAGTTAGCTTGGAGGTCAGAGAACCAGTGAGAAAACCCAGCATGTCAGGGAAAAGCTATATTTAGGGTTTAGCCTGAGTCCAAAAAAGAGATAAGAAAAAAACAAAACATGCCTGGTTCCAGACTGCATATCAGAGTTCAGAGGACACCTGAGTCCAGGCCTTTGTATCCTAGGCCAGAGGATTGCACCAGGGACAGTTGGTTAGAAACAGAAAGAGAGATCGTTTGTTGGGGGGGGGGCTCCTGAGAACAGAAGTTGGCTAGTGAAAAGAAAGCCTTAATGTCAAGAGCTTGTTTTTCTTCAAGCTGGCTGGGTGTAACTCCCCAACAGGGCAGGCTGAGAGGAAGAACTGTGAGCTGGAGGCCAGCCTGGGCTACATAGCAAGACTGTCTCGGAAAACGAAAACAACAGCCTCCTAAGGGGCGCTTGGTCGCTTTCATCTTGTGAGATCTAAAAGAACCCAAGTTTATAAGCCCTCCTGTGAGACACACCCACAGGAAGCCCGTGGGGAAGACTCTTCCCCTTAAGTCGGTCTTCTCAGTAAGGGGTTTCAAGTAACTGAGAGACATTTCTCAGAAAAGGCTGTGATTTTATCCTGAGTGCCCATGTGAACATTTCCGAGATTTCTGGGTTTTCCATTGACTCTAACCTTTGGCGAGAGTAGCTGGTGTGCTCCTAACCACTGATCCACCTTTCCAGTTCCAGATTTTAATGCATTTTATTTTATTTGTGTGTGTGTGTGTGTGTGTGTGTGTCTACCACAGACGTGCAGGTCCCCAAAGAGGCCAGGAGAGCTGGGAACAGAACTTAGAGAAATTGCTAGACATTTTCACAATCAAAACTTCGTTCTTCCGTGGCTTGTGTAAGGTCCAACCTAGATGCTCAGGCTGCCACCGTGTGACGGAGTCCTGGGATCCAGAGTAGAACTGGAGGTTTTATTTTAAGTCCATAAAGTGTGTGTAAAACAAGCAACCAGCAAGGAGCAAATTCAGAGATGAAAGGGAAACCCCTGATTCTGCCCCCTGGCAACCAACATTGAGTTTAAGGAGTAATTTCTGCCCCTCCTCTCTGTGAGCTCTTGCGCTGGCTTCTTCAGCGTCACCCCTGACAGGACCTGGGTCACGCCTTTGCCTGTGGGGCCAGACTTGCCTCAGCTGTTGGCCTCATCCTACACACAGAAACATGATGAACTAAACGAGGAACCAGGGACACTTGCTGGAGTTGAGGGTCCAGGCCTCCCCCCACGGCAGGATGGGAAAGCACCTGGCCTGCAGGAGAGGCCCCTCAAGGTCACCAGCAGCTATGGGACCCGAGTCTCGGGGTGGAGAAGACCTGGGTATCCCGGACCACTCTTGACCCGGACGAGCCTCGGGGCCCCACCTTGAAGTGTACGGAAGTGCTTACCTGGGAGCATCCCCAGGCTGAGGCAGAATGGCTGCCTATAAACAACACAGAGGAGCTGGTGTATGGCAGCCATTATTATCAGCTAACTTTATGTACGTTTTACGAGGCTGGGAATGGAACCCAGGGCTTGTGCATGCTGGGAATGTTCTCTACTATTGGGCTACACCTCCAGCCTTAGGAGTGGGTTCTGATAGAAGAGGGTCTGGAGACTCCTTGATAACCAACAGGGCTGATGATGCAGTAACTACTGTTGCTAAAATCCCTTCCTTGGGGGAAGAGTAAAGCATGTCTGCCCCTCCTCTCAAGGTCCCAACCACAAACCCAAACCAAGGCCACAGGAGTCTGGTGACATTCACTCTGGGGACCAACTAATTTATTGGGCTTCCCTACAGAGTAGGGAGAGGTACTTACAGGGGTTTGGACATGCATCCCCAACCAGCTACACCCGGAAAGGCTTACTGCATACCAATGAGGGTTTCCACCCAACATGTATATATGGATTCCCCCACGTGCTCTAGCCCCTCCCCCAGGCCACAGCCGTTTGCCAGGTGGTAGAGAGCAGCTAGATACTCAGGTGAGAACCTCAGGTCTGTCTAGGCCTCTGCTGGGGTGGGATTGTCAGCCAGTCCCATTGGTGAGCATTTGCAAGGGTCACACAGCTGAACTCCCTAAGACAGTGCCTTGCTTAGCTCACCCACACCTATAGGACCATTGCCTCAGAATCTTACCTCAGCGGTGGGGGCCAGCACAGAGAGCGTCGAGCTGGCCCCCCATCTGTGGAGACACTCAGGCAGCGATATCTCTGCCACTGGAATTCTGAGGGTGAAATCAGCCTTGCCCTGAAAAGGTAGATCCCCCGGGGAATCTCCCACGGACATACGCCAGTCTGGAACTGGAGCTATGGATTCCCTCACCCCACCCCCAAGCCCCAAGCTCATGGTGGAAGCCTAGGTTTTATATCACTCTCCATCCCATCGTCATCCCAGGAGAGCTCATGTAACTTTCTGAGACACACATCAGATCTTCCAAACTTCGAGAACAGGATTCTAACGTGTTGCAGAGACACAACTGTGTTCTGCAGGAAAACATAAATACCAAATACGTATGTGTTGGGCAGGGGAGCTTTCCTCCTCTGGTTTGATTCCTTCATTGCTTACTGGCCACAGGCTCCTGTGTGCCCTGATTCGATGCCTCCATCACTTAAAAACAGAAGGGTTAGCGATGGAACTCGGTGGGAGGCCCTGGGTTTGAGCCTCAGGACCTCAGGAGGAAAATGAAGCAGAACCTTACTGGGCAACCCGGAACTTCAAAATCCACACTAGAATGCAACTGTCCTGCTAGGTTTTCATTTATTTATTTATTTTTGAGGCAGTCTTACTGCGTAAGTCCAGGCTAGCTTGGGTTATTCCCTAAAGGACACTGGGTAGCTCTGCTGATCTTGATAGGTTATTTCCTAGGCTGGTGGTGTGAGCATTTCATGACCTTGCTGACATCCTCCCCCCATTAAGGTGTCTAGTAGCCTTGCACCGCCTCTACCAAAGTGTGCAGTGCCGAGGGCCGAAGCCCTGTGCATGCTGGGATGCATTCTACCAACCGGGCCACACTCCCAGGACCCTGGGCCCCAGGGCTCTGCCCCACTCCCATCCCACTTAGCCCTCACACAGCACACTGCCCCCCGAAAGAGTATGACCACTGCAGTGGGACCTGCACTTCCCACAGATCTGCAGGAAGCATAACTTCCCTTGTGCCTTCAAAAATAAAGATAATGCTTGCTTCTTAACAGAGACTTGCAGCAACTGCTCCGTCATCTGCCCATCTGTCTCTCTTCCGCAGCACGAGTGGGGGGAGGGATCCCCCATGCCTTCTGGAGAGTGCAGAGCTGGTAACTGTCTCTCAGGACAGCCACAGGGAACCGCTCTCTCCTCTCCTGGCTCTCCCCACTACCCACAGCAGTCTGGCCACCCCAGGGGACATCTGGTTCCGGTGCTACTTCCCCAGCCTCAAGGGAAGGCTGCTGAGGGGCTTTCCAGGGTCCAGTTTGGGGTGGAACAGTGCTACCCACTCCAGCATCTTCTGAGCTGAGGCCTTGGCCCGGAGCTACCCCTCCCCCAGCCTGCTCTCAACAACAAGCATCATGGTCACTTTTCAGTTTAGAACCTAGAGATGGCTGGGGCCCAAGTCTGTCTTGTCCAAGAGCCTCCAAAGTAGGGGAAGACTCAGTCATCTAATAACCAAGAGTTCAGGGCGGCACTCAGGATGCCACTGCCACCTCCACGGTCCAGTAGATAACTAAAGAGTAGGCCTTCCTTCTCCTAATTCTGATCGATGTGAATGCGACAGACACATGAGCCTCCTTTCAGAAATCCCCGGGTTTGGCTTGGGGAAAACTTTTATTAACTGAAGGCTTTTGAGAAATTGTTACTGGCTGCGTGCGTGCGTGCGTGCGTGTGTGTGTGTGTGTGTGTGTGTGTGTGTGTGTGCGCGCGTGCGTGTGTATGTAAGTGAAACAGGGTCTCTCTAGCTTCAAATTTGGAGAAATCATCCTTCCTGTGCTTTTCTAGTGTCAGGATTATAGGAGTGAGCCACTGTGTCCCTCAAAAACAGTCCTACTTAATTATTTAGCCTTCCTCACTCTTTACTCCCCATTAATCCCATGAGATTTTTCCTTTTAGTGAAAAGGTTCCCAAAGGAAAAACACATCAAGTGCAGTTTAGAAAGTATTTATTTCAAACAGTTACAATTTTCACTTTAAAGCAAACAGTGGCTCCCCAAAAAAAGCAATGAAAAAACATATTATAAAACTTTGAAAAACATATTATATGCTTGCAAAAACAGCTTAGGTATCAGCTTGCAGGTAACACAGGTAAACACCTTAAAAACATTGTCTCAAAAACAGAAACATGTAGCGTTGAGGTATTCTGCTTAACGGATATGATCTCTAGCCAAGAAAGTCTCTCTCTGTCCCTTCCAGCTTGCTACACTGTACCAGCCCTTTTCCTGCAAACTAGCTCTCCATCTGAGCATATGTTCACAAATCTGACAGTGTTCCCTAATAAGCATTAAGGTTGCCATAGAAACTCCCTGGAATTGGCACCCAACCACACTAGGACAAGTAGCTGGAAAGACCTTTGGCAGACTCTCCCCAGCGCCAGCCCTAGGACCTGAGTCAGCTGACCTGTCTCCAGTCACCGCCTCACTGTAGGCTGTAGCATGGAAAACGTTCTTGCGATGACCCTGTCTCTCCAAATGAAGAAAGGTTCTCACCACCTCCACCTGCAGCTGAGTGTGGGAATTCTCCTCAACTAGGTCAGCCTGCTAGGAACTGCTAGGGAAAATAGGACCTAGGCAAACCAAGCATTCCTTAAATCTGCATAGCGTGGCCAACCCTGGCCCAACCTGCTGGGCTCTGCTCCACACTGGCTCCAACCTAATTACGGCAGTAAACCCCACACACCAATTTCCTTCCTCCCAAGACATCGGGGATGTGGCAGAGTCAATGTGAGCGTACAGCCAGGTGAGCAGCTGCAAAGACAATGCCCACAGAGAGATGAGCACTCAGTCACCAGACATCTCAGGTGCATAGCCAATGATACTCCCTTGAAACGTCTTAAAGCTATTCGCTAATGCCGTAAGAATCAAAGATCACGTTAGAACTTGAGAACTTGAGCCAGTATGCGCTCTACTCTCCCTGCAGAGCAGTCAAGGTTGTGTTTAAACCATCTGTCTAAACCCTCCACATCTGGCTGCCCGGTTGCTGACTGCAGGTGTGCAGGGAGTGACGACACTGTTGGCGAGGCAGCCTGTGGGCTGCAGACACATTCAGCAGTCACAGATTTGAGGCCAGAAGCAGCTGAGGGCCTATCCCTGCGTGCCCTGAGCGAAGCTGGGGATCAGAGGAAACAGACGTCATTGACATTAGCTTATTAAAAGTCAAAAGGAAAATGCATCCTTTGATGGGGGGGGCGGTATCCTGTCATAATAATAGTGAAAGCAGTAACAATTTGGAGATCAAAGCTATTTAGCTTTGAGAGATAATGCGCTATCTGGATTTCAATCTTCCACCAGCTTGCCCTGCCTGGCTTTGGTAGCGGCTTTCGGGCAAAGCCAGTGTGGAGAATTGAAGAGTCGTGCGTGGGCCCCTCTCCTGTCCCTTGCAGGTCACTATTTCCAATGTTCCCCTTTCACAGCATTTTTGCTACTCTTTAGTCCCAGAAACTTAACAAAGAAGGAGAAAAACAAACAACAGAAAAAAAAAACCATGAGTACCTGCCTGGTTTTTGTCAACTTACAAACCTTTTTCTAAGACAGCGACAGGTTCTGAAACATTCAAAGTGCGGTAGGAATAACCACCTGCCTGAGATGGGCACCTTAGAGCTGTGGGATAGACAGCGGAACAGCTTCCGGTAGCTTCCGAACTCCACCTCCTGGCCCGTGGTGGTAACATTGTCTGGAAGGTAAGCTACTAGGGAAGTGTTGGGATTTGGTAATGTGGGGGTTAATGAAGGCAAAACTCACTGTAATCACAGCGTACTCTGTAGTCTCCCGGGTGACCACTAACATCACAGAATTCTCAGAGCCCCAGGGGAAAGCGACTGAGGTGTGCACTCTGTGGTCTCCCGGGTGACACTAACATCACAGAATTCTCAGAGCCCCAGGGGAAAGCGACTGAGGTGTTCAGTGCTTCTCCAGGACTGCATGCAGGGACTCCACACAGCGAGGAAGGCCACGGTGGCAGTGAGGAGGGGCAGGAAGCTGACACCCTTCCTTCCCAAGCCTGGCGAGCATTCATCCCCTGAAGCTGAGGACAGACTATTTTTATACTTTTTAAGACAAAAAACAAGATACAGAACGAAACTAAAGTCTTCTCTGTTACAGAAAATAGTCATTTTTCTCGATTTTCACTTGACTTGGCTTTTGTGCTAAACAAAGTTACCATGCCCTCCCCCCTCAACACCCCCGGGTAGTCCCTACACCAGCACACAGTGAGTCCTGGTGAGGAAACAGTTTCCTTTTTTTGTTTGTTTGGTTTTTCCAGACAGGGTTTCTCTGTGTAGCTTTGGAGGCTATCCTGGAACTCTGTAGACCAGGCTGGTCTCGAACTCAGAGATCCGCCTGCCTCTGCCTCCCGAGTGATGGGACTAAAGGCGTGTGCCACCAACGCCCGGCTCAGGCAACAGTTTTGTAAAAAGCAAAAAGCAAATGCAATCTTTCTAGTTCAGCTTTCTTTACATGAACATCGTCTTTCCTAATCGCTCAGGTCCAGTTGAAACCAGTATGGGCAAGGCTGGAGTAAAGTAGTTATGCTATCTGCCACGGCAGAACTCCTCACTAACACCATCCCTCCCCTGGGAGACCATGTTTTCAGAGGCTGTGTCCCCTCAACTACAGCAGGGACAGTGGACACCCGTCCTTCCCCTGCTTCCATCCTGCTCCTCTTGAAGCCCTGAGATCAAAGAAGAAAATAAAACTTTTGCAGTGCCTAGGATTATCATTCACATTTGAAAAATGCTTATGAGAAAGTCATTTCACCTAAAACCATCAGGCCCTGAGATACCGGTCACTACAAGCGGAACTCCCAGCCGCTTCCCCAGTGGCTTCCAGGTAGTGAGAAGGGAAGTAGGAACGGGCTTCCTCCTCAGGCTTAATGGCCCAGGAAAAGAGAATGTCAAAGGCGCTTGGATTTTAAGAGTTCCAGCGACAAGGTCAGTTGGGAGAGTGAGCCAGAGCTAGGCAACTGGGGCAACCTGTGGCGCCCCTACCTGAGGCTATCCTGGGGATGCGGCTTGTTAAGGCTAACAATGTGTAGAACAAGCCCCTCTATCCAGAGTTGTCGTGGCCTCTTCGTAGTGGCCTGTGTCCCTCACAACCCCTTCCTTAGGAGCAGATGCAGTGCTATGCCAGTCTTCACCCATTCTGGACCTTCTGCAAGGCTCTAGTGGAGAAGGAAGCTGCAGCCCAGCCCACCCCGACCAGGCGAACTGGAATGGCCACGAGGAGCACGTGTGCTGATCTGATCCCATGCCAGCTGCCAGGTACCATCCGGAAGACTATCTGGGGAATAGGTAGTCTCTGTTGCTGGTGTCATAAGGGTTCTGCGGGTCCCTGACACCCAGGCAGTTGTGGCTTAAGGTGTTGTCAGGCCTGGAGCCGTTGTGGGACCCTGCTGAGGTGAGGAGGGGAACCAGTACGAAGTTGGGCTTCAGCTGTCCCAAGGAATGTGGCTGGGGAGAACTCGTCTTGCTTTCCTTCCCAGCCTGGGGCTTCCATGTCTTCTTGAGCCTTTATACAAACACACAAAAAACAAACATACCGACGTGAGCTTCCTCCCAGGCCAATGTCAGGGTGGAAAACACAGCAGCAGCTGGCTGCCCTGGTTGCTGGGTGTGCCCAGGCTCTGCTTACTTCTGTATCATTACCAGAGGTCTCCAACGCCCTGAGGAGCTGGAGAGGCTCAAAACCAAGGCCACACCTCACTGGGCCCATTTACAAAGGGAAAGAAATGTGACTGTTGCTTTATGCACTCCCAAAGTCCCCAGAGGCTGCCCGTAGGCTGCCCGTGAGGCACACACCATCAGTTCTCTATCATTCACGTAAAACGAAGAGAAGAATATTCTCTCAGTGGGGAAGGAAAAACGGGACTTGGCCCAACTAAGGCTGGCAGGAAGCCGATCATTCGCAGCCTGCAATGAACAGCAGAAAACAGGCTGTGCGGTCCGTGTCCTCTCCTGTCCTAGGCGGTCAGCATTCCCATCCGTGAGTGTCCACACACCTCCACCCGCCCCCACCCACCCCACCCGCAGTGGGGGAGACTGCATGCTCCGAGGAGGCACCGCTGGGCACGTGTTGACTCATCTGACAGGAAAGTCAATGGTGGGCAGGAAGGAGATAGGCATCGCTCTCATCACAGCCTCCTCAGCGTGCTGTCTGGGCCCCAGGCCAGGCTCAGCAACTAGCTGACAGCCTGAAGAAAGCTGAGCTGCAGATGCAGATCTGCAAGGGCGGGGGGGGGCCTCTGTCCCAAGGGGCCCTATGCTCGGTGTGCTGGCTGGATCGGGGGGAGTAAGGGGACTCTCCTCAATTCCCTCCCAGGCCAATTACCCAAGGAAGGGCTGTGAGGGAGGAGGGAAGCCAATGTCAAAACAAAATTTGGGCATTTTCTTGGGCTTTTTGTACCAGCAGATTACTCTTGTTCTTGTTGTGACAAATGATTGATGGCTGGCTCAGAATATGCCGTTGGCTCTTGGCCTGTTAGCCAAACAGCACAAACAATCCACAGAATGTTTCTTGGATGCAGGAAGAGAGCCCAGCAGGGGTGAGAAGGCACGAGTGCTTAGTCGCTGAGTGGAACTCTCCCCGTGACAGGACACACTGCTACACCAAGGACTGCCAAACACCCAGACCCTCTGACCCAGGAACTCATGTTCTCAGAAAATATCCTAAAAATGACTGTGGTGGTTTGAGTAAGAACAGCCGGCTCCCACAGACTCATATATTTGAAAGCTTAGTCACCAGGAAGTGGCACCATTTGAAAGGATTAGAAGGATTAAGAGGTGTCCTTATTGGAGGAAGTGTGTCACTGGGGGGTGGGAGGTTTTAAAAGCCCAAGTCAGCTAGGCCTAGTCTCCTCCCTCCCTCCCTCCCTCCCTCCCTCTCTGTCTCTCACTCTCCCCCTCCCTCCCTCCCTCTCTCTCCCCTTCTCTCTGTCTCTGGGTCAGGATATAGCCCCCAACTACTTTTCCAACACCATGCCTGCCACGATGATCATGGACTCGGCCTCTGGAACAAGCCTCCAATTAAATGCTTTCTCCTCCAGGAGTTGCCCAGGTCATGGTGTCTCTTCACAGGAACAGAACAGTGAGTGAGACAAGGATACAAGTGTGGGAGAACTTTAAGATGTCCATCACAGAGCTGTTTATAAATGCAAAACATCTTCCAATCCCTGGAAACAGTTCACCTGGGTTTACGTTCGTACAGGAAAACCTGATTGCTAATGAATATGAGGTTTACAAAGGCTGGACATGGAGGCTCGTGACTTTAATTCCAGCACTCAGGAGGCAGAGACAGGCAGATCTCTGTGAGTTCAAGGCCAGCTTGGACTATAAAACAAGTGCCAGGATAGGCTCCAAAGCTAAACAGAGAAATCCTGTCTCAAAAACCCAGACAAAGGAAGGAAGGAAGGAAGGGAGGGAGGGAGGGAGGGAGGAAGGAAGGAAGGAAGGAAGGAAGGAAGGAAGGAAGGAAGGAAGGAAGGAAGGAAGGGAGGAAGAATTAGAAGCAGAACACCTGAGTTTGTGCCTATGGAGAAGCATCAAGAGGCAGTCCCCAAGTGTTGACACACTGTTTGGCCCCAAAGTATAAAGCTGTCCCGACCCACTGAGACCCCTGTCTTCTGCACAACCATTGGACAGTTATTTGGTTCACTGCTTCACTGGAACATCACAATTGAGGCCAGGGATGTAGTTCAGCGTCAGAGCTCCTGCCTAGCCCTGGATTTGAACCCCAACACTGCAGATGAGGAAAGGAGGGAAGGATGAAAACAAGAACAGTCTTGGGCCGGGCACAGCCTGGTGTCTTTTGCTGTGTTGTCAAGCCAGCTTCAGGGCCACTGTGAGGTCCTCGGGAGCCAGCGTGTGGAGAACTCTCTCCCAAAGGCCTTCCTCATCCTCCTCATCATGGCTTCCTGTCCCCTGCCTCCTGCAGCACCCGACCCAGGACTCAGAGTAGCTGTAGGTGCGGTGCGTGTTGTATGTTCATTTGCTGAATTCTGACGACCACACGGACAGATGAAAGCTAAGACACAGAGTACAGCGCAGAGCCCCGGGGCCCGTCTCACCTCACGACGATGAAGACACAGAGGAGCAACCCACACACCAGGCTTCCTCCAGCCACCAGGAATGTGGGCAGTGATATGGAGGAAGATTCTTGCTCTGAGGCTGTGGGGGGCGGGGCAGAGGAAAGGAAAGGGGGTGGGCAGAAGGGCAGGAGGGAGGAAGGGGAGGGAGAAGAAAGTCAGTCAGGGAGTACTAGAAAGCAGACTCTGCTCCGGGAGGCGCAAACTGCCCGCTTGCTGGCCAGAGCCTGCTCTGAGGAGCCGTGCAGACTCCTAGCATAGCAGCTGCCCCACTCACGGGTGATCCCGGGACTGATTCTCAGCTGGCAGCCAACTCTCAGAGTAGCTTTCCTGGTGTCCTGTACCAGGCAGAGGCTCTGAGGACTCCATAGTGGTGGATCCACTAGGGCTGGGTCACTGGGACTCAAGGACTTTGAGCACGTATGGTATCTGGGAGCAGTTTCTCCACGGGGTGTCAATTCTCGCCTATCCCCAACTTGGCATTCAAGATCCATACACGCTGTGTCCCTACTCCTGCAGGGCTCTCCACCTATCCCTTCCCGCCCAAAGTGTTCTCTCAACCTTCGCTGAGCCCCTTTGCTGCCCAGTCCGTAGAAACCTTGATGAGCGGCCACACTCTTGGCTGGACCAGTGCAACTGTGCAAACAAAGCCCGTGGCTCCCTAAACAGGTTTCCTTCTACGGATCCTCCAGTTCAGTCTGCAGCAATGATGTCCATAGCCTACTCAGTCATCCTGACGACGGACTGCAAGTTAGCCTACTGACCCAGCCCACCCTTCACGGGGCCTCATTGGAGCTCAGCAGACAACACCAAACGAGCATACGAAGTAAGGAAAGATGAGCAGCTGCTGCAGCTCACTGGTAGAGGTTTGCCTAGCATGCTCAACATCCTGGGTTCAGTCCTGAATACTGCAACGAGCTACATACAACAATGAAGGTTGCTGTTGCCTCTGACCCTCTGCTAAGTGTCCAAGTGAGAGAGCTCTTCGGTGGACCAGAGGAATGCCAAGACACTAGCGCTTACCCGGCGTGCTTGTTGCTCTTACAGAACGCATGGACAGATCCTCCTCGTTGTCGTCTTCATCCGGGACCTAGGAGAGATGACCCTCATCAGCAGCCTGCTCCTCATTGCTACACACTCCGAAAGCCACCACTCCTTCCTGCCTCCTGAACCTCTCTGTGCCCAACCTGCGTCAACCGTCATCCGGTCACAGGGTGGTTTGTGCGCTCATTTTCCCTGGCCAGGTGAAGAGTTCTTTCCACCAGTGTGTCTCCCAAAGGTACAGAGGGTATGCTCAGTAAACGAAGCAGCTGTCCAGGGGGTCTGTTGCCAGGTGCAGCGGTGGCCTCCTCCCAACTCCACTTGTCACTAGCTAGCTACGCGATGGGCAGATCTCTGAGTCCAGATGGGTTGAAGTCCGGCTTCTGGATCCAATTTTGAGATTTAGCCACGGAGTGGAGAAGGTGGCCAGTGCTCAGCTAGTGACAATTCCTTAGGACCTGCCTGGAGCTCCCTGCCCTGAGAGGCGAAAACTCAGCTGCCTCTGTCCGTGAAGGCACCAAAAAGCCCCACAAGGACAGCCCCCTGAAGACATCCTTTCTAGGACAGCCCTGTGAAGTCTGTACGTGTGAGGCCCAAACCTCTGCCTCCTTCTCTGTGCTTTAGGGGGCAGAGGAACAAAGCTTCCAGCTCAATACTGAGGGAATTAAGGACCCCGCGAGGAGACAGAGTTGGGTGGGAAATTGGATTAGTAAAGGGATTTGTTAAGCAGCTTCAGACATAATCCTCTTTCCAGTACTTCACGATAGCAGGCTGCCACAAGGGAGGCCATGGATAAATTGAATCTGGTCTCAAACCAAGCAGTCAGTGGTATCCAAACAGCTCAGTAAAGCAGTAGCCACCAGAGCCAGGCAGACGGAGCTTCATAGCGTCGAGGGACAGGGAACTGGCCCACAGCCATACTCTAGAAGACCCAACTGGAACTGAAACCAGATTGGGGGGTGGAGGGAATGGGGGAGCAGCGCATGTCCTGGTCCTTTCCAAAAGGGCAAGCTCACCTGCGTGGGGTTCCCAAGGATCCCTGCAGGAGTGCTCCTGGGCTCTGCGGTAGAAAGAGGGGTTGTGTTAGTGACTCATGGACCCTGGAACCCAGTCAGAGCAACACAGAGGAACGGAATGGGCTGGTGGCACGTCCAAGTCCTAACACCAGGGAAGCTGAGGAGGAAGGAGTGCCTCAAGTTCAAGGCTAGTACAGAGGAGATCCTATCTCAGAAATAGAAATTTAAAAAAAATCAATAGAGTTCAAAATGGGTTTTTTGGTTGGTTGCTTGGTTTTGGGTTTTTTTGAGACAGGACAGAGTTTCTCTGTGTAGTCTCAGCTGTCCTGGTACTCGCCCTGTAGATCAGCCTGGCCTCAAAGTCACAGAGATCCACCAGCCTCTGCTTCCCTGGTGCTGGGATTAAAGGTGTGTGTCACTGCTGCTGCTGGGCTACAAAAAAATTTTTTTCAAAGCAGAATGCTGGGAATAAGGAACTCTCCAACGCCCGAAGACTAACTCTGTCATTTGTGACAGAGCATATTAGATAGTCCCTAACGTTTTCTGCTCCACAATGTAAATGCATCCAATGGACCCACAAATGTGACTGATTATTCTGTGTCCACTAAAAATAAAAGGTGTGCATGCCTTTAAGCCCAGACTTTGGGAAATCAAAGCCAGCTTGGTCTACACAGAGCGTCCCAGGCCAGCCAGGACTTAAAAATAAAGCTTCAAGGGGGCTGGAGAGATGGTGCAGTGGTTAAGAGCACCGCTGCTCTTCCAGAGCGCCCAGGTCTGATTTCCAGCACCCACATGGTAGCTCACCACCCTCTGAAGCTCCATTTCACCTAAAGTTCATCCACCTGGCCTCTGCAGGCCTGCAGACATGCGGTGAACGGGCACAGGGTTAGGCATAAACCAAAACTGAAAACGATGAGATAAATCTTTAAAAATAAAACCCCAAAATACATATTTTAGAAAAATGTTAAAGATAAAATGTATAGAAAAAAGACATATGCTTTGATTCAAAGTTTCTAGAACTCATGCTTATATTACATTATATATTACAATACATACACAGGAAGGGAAAGGCCCAAAGGATACATATCACAAGATATAAGCACTATTAACAGTAATTCCTTAAACTATCCTTTTTGCAATAGAATGTACGGAGGATCAGTGACTCATGCCTGGGACGGGCAAAGGGCACCATGATAAAGAGGGGCGGGGACAGCTGAGGCAGAAGTCACTCCCTCTTGGGAACAGCTTTCCACAGAAGTCACTGGGGCAAGAGGAGGCCCAGAATCAAAGCTGAGCTGGGGCCGAGGGACAGGCGAGGGACAGAGTGACTCAGATTTTCTTGTCATCTCATCGTTTTTCCACTAGAGTTAAAAATACCACCAAGTATAAGACATTAAGTATCCCAGACCCAGGAGTAGACAAACAAACCGCCAGCTAAGGGGTGGAGGATAGGGTGAGTCTGTTTCTGCTTGGGAGAGGATTTTCAAAGGGCTGTGCCATCTGCAGAAAGAGAGAAAACCACACAGCAACACAGGAGGCGTTGACAAGGAACCCACCCACTGCTTCATTGTATAAAAAAGGAAATGGGCCCAGAGAGGGAAAGCAATTTGTCTAAGTTCACACAGCAAGTGAACTCAGAAATGAACCTCAAATTGTGGCAAGGACTCACATCTCATACCTTTATGCTCCTCCCAGCTGAGCCCAGTATGAACAGGTCAGCCGGGCAATGGTGTCACATTCCTATAATCTCAGCACTCAGGAGGCAGATCTCTGAGTTTGAGGCCAGCTTGATCTACAAAGTGAGTTCCAGGACAGCCAGGACTACACAGAGAAACCCTGTCTGGAAAATGACAACAACAAAAAGAACAAAACCAGCAGCTAAAACCAGCAGCAGTAAACAGAAAAATGTCCAACCACTGATGGCCACTCAGCCCAGAGGTTCCCCAGATCCTGTCAAGTTCAACATCACATGAGGCCTTTCAGGCCCCTCCATCCTTATGGCCTAGAACCCTGACAATAAGCCTCATTGAATCCCACCAGGGACCGCACACACGTGTGCATGGGCGGGCTGGTTTTGTGAGACAGGGTTTCTCTACCACCTACAATGGCTTGGAACTTACTATGTAGATAGACCAGGCTGACCTTTGACCTTGAATTAAATATTCTAGAGTGCTGGGATTATAGGTATGAACCACCACATTGTTTCCCCTCATGCTTTTCTTCTGTCGTTGTTTGGTTTCGAAACGAAGTCTCACATTTTAGCTCAACTGTTCTGGAACTCACGGTGTAACCCAGGCTGACACGGAACTTAGAAGTCCTGTTTTAGCCTCTCAAGTGCCTGAGTCAGCACACCTGCTGGGATCGCTGAAGACGGGGAATGGGCTGGAGAGGTGGCTCAGCCGTTAAGAGCCCTCGCTGTTCTTGCAGAGAGCCTGGGTTCAGTTCCCAGCAACCACACAGCCGCCCCAAACCAGCTGTAAATCCAGTCCCAGAGGATCCAATGCATTTTTCTGACCTCCACTGGCACCAGGCACCCATGTGGGGCACATAACACATGCAGGCAAAACACCCATATGCATCAAATAAAACTTTAAAACAATAAGTAAGTGAGCCGGGTGTTGGTGGCGCACGTCTTTAATCCCAGCACTCGGGAGGCAGAGGCAGGAGGATCTCTGTGAGTTCGAGGCCAGCCTGGTCTACAGAGTGAGTTCCAGGACAGCCTCCAAAGCCACAGAGAAACCCTGTCTCGAAAAACCAAAAAAAAAAAAAAAAAGTAAGTATGGAGTGTGCCAGCAAGATGGCTCAGGAAAGCCCCAGTCATGTAAGCCAGAAGACCCAAGTTCCATCCACAGAGCTGAGGGGGGAGGAATCAGCTTCCGGGAGCTGTCCTCTGACCTCTCAGTGTGTGCCTTGGCAAGCATGCTATCCTCACACACACACCACACACTGGAAGAAATACCTCTTTTTAAATTTAAAGATGGGGAAACTGAGGCAAGAAAAAGGAAAACAACTTTCTCAAAGTTAGTAGAAAGTAGCAGAGCTATAATTTTTGTATATTTATTCCTCTGTGTGTGTATGTGTGTGTGAGCATGTACGTGTGAGAGAGTATGCATGTGAGGGTGTGTGTGTGTGTGTACTGTGTTTACTGTGTGTGTACTGTGTGTGTGTACTGTGTGTATGTGTGTGAGAGTGTGTGTGTGTATGTGTACTGTATGTGTGTGGTGTGTATGTGTCTGTGTGTACTGTGTGTGTGAGTATGTGTATATGTACTGTGTGTTTACTGTGTGTGTATACTGTGTGTGTGTGTACTATATGTGTGTGGTATGTGTGTGTATACTGTATGTGTGTGTGTGTGCTATGTGTGTACTGTATGTGGTGTGTGTGTGTGTACTGCATTGTGGTGTGTGGTGTGTGTGTGTACTGTGTGTGTGTGTGTACTGTGTGTGTGTGTGTGTACTGTGTGTGTGTGTACTGTGTGTGTGTGTGGTGTGTGTGTGTGTACTGTGTGTACTGTATGTGGTGTGTGTGTGTACTGCATTGTGGTGTGTGTGTGTGTACTGTGTGTGTACTGTATGTGTGTGTGTGTGTACTATGTGTGTACTGCATTGTGGTGTGTGTGTGTACTGTGTGTGGTGTGTGTGTGTGTGTGTACTGTGTGTGTACTGTATGTGGTGTGTGTGTACTGCATTGTGGTGTGTGGTGTGTGTGTGGTATGTGTGTGTATACTGTATGTGTGTGTGTGTACTATGTGTGTACTGTATGTGGTGTGTGTACTGCATTGTGGTGTGTGTGTGTGTACTGTATGTGGTGTGTGTGTGTACTGTGTGTGTACTGTATGTGGTGTGTGTGTACTGTGTGTGTACTGTATGTGGTGTGTGTGTGTACTGTGTGTGTACTGCATTGTGGTGTGTGTGTGTACTGTGTGTGGTGTGTGTGTACTGTGTGTGTACTGTGTGTGTACTGTGTGGTGTGTGTGTGTACTGTGTGTGTACTGCATTGTGGTATGTGGTGTGTGTGTACTGTGTGTGTACTGCATTGTGGTATGTGGTGTGTGTGTACTGTGTGTGTACTGTATGTGGTGTGTGTGTACTGTATTGTGGTGTGTGGTGTGTGTGTGTGTGTACTGTATGTGTGGCACGCCCATGCAAGTGTATGGAGGCCAGAAAACACCAAGCACCCTGCTCTATCAATGTCTGCTTCCCTGGAGACAGGGGCTCTATCAATGTCTGCTTCCCTGGAGACAGGGGCTCTATCAATGTCTGCTTCCCTGGAGACAGGGTCTCTATCAATGTCTGCTTCCCTGGAGACAGGGTCTCTATCAATGTCTGCTTCCCTGGAGACAGGGGCTCTATCAATGTCTGCTTCCCTGGAGACAGGGTCTCTATCAATGTCTGCTTCCCTGGAGACAGGGTCTCTATCAATGTCTACTTCCCTGGAGACAGGGTCTCTATCAATGTCTGCTTCCCTGGAGACAGGGGCTCTATCAATGTCTGCTTCCCTGGAGACAGGGGCTCTATCAATGTCTGCTTCCCTGGAGACAGGGGCTCTATCAATGTCTGCTTCCCTGGAGACAGGGGCTCTATCAATGTCTGCTTCCCTGGAGACAGGGGCTCTATCAATGTCTGCTTCCCTGGAGACAGGGGCTCTATCAATGTCTGCTTCCCTGGAGACAGGGTCTCTATCAATGTCTGCTTCCCTGGAGACAGGGTCTCTATCAATGTCTGCTTCCCTGGAGACAGGGTCTCTATCAATGTCTGCTTCCCTGGAGACAGGGTCTCTCACTTGTTTCTCTCCAAAAGCATCCCCTCAACTCCCGAAGTGGCATTTAAACCAAGTCTGTATGCCTCCAAAAATGAACATTTTTAAAAGTTTAAAAATATCCACTCTGGAGCTGGAGACATAACTTGGTTTGCCCCTCAGCACTGCATGGTGTGGCACTGGCCTGGGGGACACTCCTGTAATGCTGGCACTGGCCTGGGGGACACTCCTGTAATGCTGGCACTGGCCTGGGGGACACTCCTGTAATGCTGGCACTGGTCTGAGG